AAATAAAGATGCATTTATTAGACAGTAGCTCCCATATCAAATCCTAGAAATCAATGTTAACGTTTATCAAATAATTCTTTATCTATTTTTTAACTTTATTACGTTTTGACAAAATTTGCATATCACACAGTTCAATAGTTTAAAACATATTAAAAAGTTGTGCAATCATCACTGCAATCAATTTTAAGGCATTTTCTTCATCCTTGTACTCATTAAGAATAGCTCACCATTTCCTCATGTTTACATAAAGGTTTATATGGACCTTATGGTAACGCCTTGTCTGAATTTCTCTCTCACAGGCACTGTTCTTAGCCCTAAGCTCCTTGTAGGCAATTTTTGAATCATATAAGTTAAGTGTCCTTTCTACCTTTTCATCTTATACAGTCACTATTTTTAACCAGAGAATCATATATGTTGTTTTGAGTATGAAATGGGGAGAAAATTTAATATCGGTTTTCCAGATAATCTGCATTAATAAATTGGCACTACAAGTAATTTTCACACTTATATCAAGAAACACTAAAATTTCATGTTAATCTGGAACATTTTAAGTAGAAATGTTTATTTGTTTAAAGAAATCCTGCATTCATGATTAATCAGAGGCACTATTACTAAATAATGGAGACAGTCCAGTTACCACCTAGTCATACCATCTCCATAGCAGCTTACAAAACAGTGGAGTCATAGTCTGCTGGTACACAATGAAATCTACCAGTTCCAAATTAGGGAGCAAAGAATGCTTAGGTATATGATTATATGCATACTTCACTCCTAGTTTGTTTGGTATCCAATTACTCAGCATTCATCGGCAAATGCATAAAAGCCAACATTTATTATTGGTTATTTTGAGCTTTCCAGGGTGGCAAAAGTGTCTAAGTGCTTGATATGTGCACTAGCAGAAAAGTTAAGAGGTTCAAACCCACCCAGAAGCAACTCAAAGGAAAGGTCTGACAATCTGCTTCCCAGTTTTAAAAACTTTATGAAATGCAGTTCTCTTCTGCAACACACAACGTCATCATCAGTCAAAATCAACTCAACAGCAACTAGAACTGGGCTGGAGGGAGGGAAATGGAAAGTTACTGCTTAAGTAAGGGTGTCGGATTTAATTTGGGATGATGAATAACTTTCAGAAATAGATAGCACAATAAGGTGAATGTAATTGAAGTAAGTGAATTGTGCACTTTTAAAGAGTTCAAATGGCACACTTTTTGTTACACATATTTTACCACAATGGCATTTAAAAGGGGGTGGGGGGGAAAAGGATTTGAATAGACATTTCTTCAAAGAAGGAATGTAAATGACAAATGACTTCAGAAAAGGTGCTCACATCATTAGCCATCAGTGAAATACAAATCACATTATGATGATACTACTTAAAATTTACTAGAATGGCAAAAATATAAAATAACAAGGGTTGGTGAGGAATGGAGGACAGAAGCCCTCCTACACTGTTGGTAGGAATGTAACATGGTCTAGCAGTTTCTCAAACAGTTAAACACTGTTACCAAACAGTTAAAACACAGAATCACTACAAAATCCCATAATTAAAACCAAATGGTCACACAAATATTTGTACGTGAATGTCTACAAGAACATTATTTGTAACATCCCCCAAAGTGGAAGCAACCAAATAACCAACAACCTGATGAACAGATATAGTATACCCATAGAACTGAACTTAACTGAAAAATAAAGAGAAAGGAATTACTGATTACGGATGAAACCAGAAAGCATTATACTAAATGAAAACATCACCATGACAGAAAACAACCTATTACATGATACCATTTATAGGAAACAGGACAATGCTACAGAGATATAAGGTAGATTAGTAATAGTTTAGGACTGGTGGTAGGGAGGGAAAGAAGGGAGATGATAGCTAAATAACAGAGCTTTTGGGGTTGACAAAATACTAAAATGTATTGTGGTGATTGTTGCACCTTCTCTGAGAATTTTTAAAGTTAGACATATAATAAGTGAAGGTGATTATAAAGAATTTGTGGTCAGCCATGCGTCAGCATTGACTTGACGGCAGTGGGTTTTCTTTAAGAGG